CTAAAGGTCAAAAAAGGTAAAAAGATGGATATTGCTCCTGTTTGTGCTGCTGGTTTGGCCGCTGACTCATTTTCTGAGACCTCAAAGTGACACAGAAATCCACAAAGTAAAATCAATCTGCAAAATATAAACCTTGAGAATTTTAAAAGTTATTTTCTGGGCTTTCTATGCCTCTACTTAGACAGAGCGGACAGAGAAATATCAGGTTGGAGAGACATGCCGGAATGGGAAAGCAGGTAGGAATTGGACCTGTGCCGCCCGTCTAAGGTCCATAGCCTTTGCACATGAGGAGTGAACCCAAACCCCAACAAACTTGTACTTATGTCTAGTTTTCTGAAGCTATATTTGTTGTCTATATCTAATCTTCAGTATCCAGTTTGTGTTTTTGAGTTTTTTTTTACTGATTGTTTCAATCCTTTAGTTCATAAAAGATCTTCTAGGACTGGGCATTGCAAATTAACATCTAGCCATCTAACATATAGCCAGGAGTTGAGTTGTGGAAAAAATCAGGGGGAATGGTGAATTGTATTGTTTGGGACAGATATTTTGTTCTGATGGCAGTACACATTTTATTGTTACTAAAGCACAAAGTTAATTATTATATTACAGTATCCCCTAGATTGAGCTGTCCATGTCGCTTGGCCATGATACTGAAATAACAACAGCGTCATCAGCACTGCTCACTGATGTCATTTTTTAAATTAAGGACGTGTTGCCTCACCCAGAGTATTTTACTAAATATGCCCAAAGCCCCCTGTCACTGGGTTCTCACTCAAACAATCACAATGTAGTGGGAAAAAGTCATGCATAGCGGAAAACACGGTAATGGTGATATTTATTTACAGCCGGCCTTCGAAGGTGTAGTGCAAAAATATTTACAGAAGTGCAAAAAATTGTCAAATACTATTTACAAAATGTAAAAAGCAAAAAAAGAAAAAGCCAACTAGGCAGGAGCTCCACTTTAACTCAAGATTCTCACTCAAGAGAAAAAAAAAAACAGAAATACAACAGCACTACAAAAGTCAGTTTGGCAGTAACTGTTAATGCAACAAACTCCAAAGAAAGGCCCAGGAAGCCTTCTTTTAACCCCTCCTAGCCCCTCCCAGTGGGCGTTATCAATTACATAAGTTTGGGGAAAAAAACCTCATTTATTCATATTCAAACCATTTTTACCATTTTTAATCTTCAGACCTTTTTTCTGTAAGTTTTTACCAAAATCAATGGAGGATTAATTTTTGGGGATTCATGGCAAGCAACAAGGGAATTAATTTTTTCTTGCGTCATGTGACCACTTTGACCCTCCATACCCACCTATATACAACACGGAAATGATTCGCTCTATTTCCTCATTTGGAAATATGAGCCGGCATGATGGCGTGAATGGACACCCGGTAAGTAAGTGAACGGATGAATACCTAAGTGATTGTATGTTTAAGTGAACCGATAGAGCTCCAAGTGTGTACCCTTGGTTACCCTATCTAACAGAGAAAGGAGGAGGAAAAGTAGCGCTGTTTAGTGGGGAATTAGCGACGCTGGCGGCGAGGGAAATGTTTGGCGTGTATATATGTATGCGTGTGTGCGTGGCTCCACGCGCTGCCCGCAGTCACTGAGAACGCGGCCGCTAAACGTTAAAATTGCGGTAATATTTCCAGTGTTAAAACAGTAGTGATATTTCCACATTAATTGACAAAAATGGCTCAAGGGATGGAAAGTTAGGATGACCGGTTGAGAAGGGATTTTTTACCATTTTCATTTTAGGGGGTGTGCCATCCCCCCTCAGCCCCCCTCAACTTGAGTACTGGGTACAGCCTGTTATTTGTGTACAGTTTTCAGTTCCTGCCCCTCAAAACCCAACCCAAATCTAAAAACTTATCATACATTATAAATTAGGGCCATACTTAATATTCATGTGCACAACATTAATTTTAAGACTTCTTCTATCCTGTCGGTCCTCCAACAGCTTTTTGCAAACCATTTCTCTCTTCAGGGGAGTTTCTACTCCAACAGAATCGAACAGAAAGGGCTCTTTGTTTCCTCAGAGATTAGTGCTGGCAGGACAGCTTGGTTTTTGTCTAATACACAAATTTGGGACAGTTATCTTCAAGGTTAAACTTAATGGACTTTAATGGTTTAGAAATTCTTTCCATTTTGAACGCTGATATGAAGCTTCATTTCAGAGGAGATGTTACTGTCTTTCTGGTCCTTTGCCTTCCGGTTGGTGTTGTATTTTGTTTCTTCTTCTTCTCCTTTTTTTGTATTTTTCCCGCTTTTCCCTTCTATGAGTTCATCTCTTCCTTCTGTGCCGCTCTTCGCCTCAGTTCTGTCTCTCTCTGCCTGTCAATATATATAAAAATAACCTGTTGCGGGATTCAGGTCCATGTGTTGACAGCTCAAGGCTGTCCTCAGACTCGTGTTTGTTTGCATGCATGTCCGTGTATGTTTGTGTGCTTAAGAGGGAAGAACAGATGTTCTGGTAGCTCCAGGCTTGGTTTTCTCATTCTGGCTACAAACAGACCTGTGATTTATGTTATTGTGCTGTTTGGCCCAAAACAAGACTGGAAGAAAGATGAGGGGACGTGGAACCACCGGACAGAGGAAAGTGATGATTGCCCATTTGTGGCTTGATGAACTTGGGATGTTTCTCCAAGCTTGATCACTGTTGGTAGCAATGATTAGATGTGGTAATATAACGGTGTTTACACGGGAATAAATGACTCACTGAAATGTGCTTTTATAAAGTAGGAACACTATGTTGGTTATTGCAAAATACACTCAGAAAGAGAATGCAGTCCAGTTGATAAACACAATAAATGGGATCAGTTTGATTTGCGTTTAACTCCTGGGATAAAACTCGAAGCAGCGCATACTTGTATTTAACTAAAGTGATAAACATACAAGCAATTACTAACACCTGAACACCAATAGACTTTTCTCCCCTGATGATTATCATGTCTTAAGTTGGACCATAATTTGAGTTAAAAAGATACTTCATATCCATCGGTGATCATCAGAGTGCAGCTTTAGAGCATTAGCAGTCATCTACTTCCAAGTTAACAACTTTGTTTTAAAATCAGAGAGTGAAGCATTTGAAGGAACAAAATGATTCTTTGGCTTCTTCGCTTACAGGCAGAGTTAACATTAACCTTAGCCATAAAAAGATATGAAAACAACGTTTGAGCTTGTGACATCTGAAGAGGTGAATAAGGTCGAAAATGAATCAACAAAGATACAATAACAGAAAAAAAATCACATTTTTAGTATTTTTATGAACATTAACAGCAGTGTTTTAAAGCTGCTCTCCAGATAGACAATAACTTTCATATCTGGCCCACTACGATTGCTGTTATTCTTCATTCCCCCACTTTTGTTTCTTCACTTGCTGAACACTCTACGTGTTTGTTTAATGGATACACTCTCACTTCCTCCTGTTGCGGTTACTATTGTCTGTGATTTAATAGAGTCGACCTTCTGAGCCTTTTGGTTCAACTTCCTCAATAAATTATTCAAAATGGAGTGTGAGGGATGTTTATAACATATGTTTTTGGTGTTCCCATGCTGTGACTAAAACCACCACCAGGATGTCTCTCTCTCTCTCTTCCAGAAAAAGTACAATTCTGTTTCAAAATGAGAAGAAATTTCGTAACTGTTTCTACTGCCAGACTTCTTCCGTACAACTATTATATGGACACCTGCTTTAGTGCTCACTGATAGTACAACAGACTGGGTTGATGTCCCGTAAGCTCTCACACGGAAATGGCCTCTTTCTGGCCTCTGTTCTCTTCCCTTCCTAATAGCTGCTGTCACAATCTGCCAAATGTGAGGTACACAGTATCCCCACACACTCTCAGACACACACAAACACACCTGATCTTGACTCAGACCAAGTTTTGGGAATCTGGAGGGCCATGTGGCGGCTTGTTTTTGTTTAAAAAAGGGTACATGCTTCCAGTAAACCTCTGATCTGGGATGGACATCTGGTTGATGGTAAAATTGTCTTCAAAATCTGGAGTTTGGATTAAAGCAAAGGTTGTGTTTCTGTGCAGCCAGAAAAAGTCAGACTTTAAAAACAGAGAGGGGAAATACATCAGTTAGAGAAATGAGAGGAGCTTTATAGCAGGCCATGAAGAAGATAGAGTTTCAACAAAAACATTATTTTTAGAGCAAACAGCAGTTGTGCCTGGCATCTGTTATTTCCTAAGCCCCGCCCCTCGTGGTTACTGTTGCTATACATTTCAAACCTCTGTCCTGTAGCCCAGATGTTAGTAAGTTAAAATAATCAATGGAGGCATTTACATGTCCTTACCCTTTGAACATAAAACAATTATTCCCGACTCCGACAGATCTATACTTGAGCTGGTTTTTCACTTAAAACTGATATATCCTCCTTTAGTTTACTGGAATGAGAACCGTCTGGGCTGTTTTGTTACTCTCTGTTGCTAGCTAGCTAATAAAGGTATACAGTTTTAAGTGTGGACTACTTTTGTATTGGTTTGAGTTGACTACAAATAATTTGAACATCCTATTAACAACAGAACTTAACAAAGAGACATTTCCTTTCTTTATAGGATACTAATAATAAGAGATTTCAGACCAGAAATGCTTCTCAGTGTAGCCTCACTTTTCATCTGTGCTTTACAGCAACTAAAGCAAATTTATTGAGCGACCCACACCAGATCCTCACAAGGAAGCCAACTTAAAACTAATTGACCAAACTTTAGACTCAAGGTCCTTACACACTGGGAACGATGCAAATATACAACGCAAAATTACGAAATGTTCAGAGGGTGAATTTTGACGCACCTGACTATACACATCAAGCCCGTTGCAATTTTGCGACTTTCCGGGGGGGAAAAAAAAGACGCGTCCCGGGTGGAAGCGATAAGACTGACACAACAGCAGACTGACTGTTTTTCAGTTCTGATTAGACACTAGTGTTGAGATGTCTGTCTGTCATGATAGCATGTACTGAGTCGGGGCCAGTACCAGATAAGCGCATTAATCTATAATCTATAAACATAAGGTAACAACCGAGACCTAATGGTGCTGTGACAGCAATGCGATTGAGTTTGAGACAGTGAAAATACATATGGTATGTTGTATCTGAAGAGGTTAGCTTACGAGCTAAAGTTACTTAGCACAGATGAAAGTTAAAACAAAGATGTTTAGCAAACTGTTAAAGCACACAAACCATCGTCATATGAGAAATCCGACGCTATGACTCTCCACAAGTCGTCCTTCAGGTCGTTATCTTTGTAATATTTGTGTCTTTTATCAAAAAGCACTCTGTTCTCAGACACGTAAACAATCAGCTGGTTGGCCATGTTGGATATACCGGTGAATCAGATGTCGCAGCAACACGCAATCCGATAAGTGGACACACAGTATGCGAAACTTTAGAAAAGTCGTCCATAATCCTAAAAAATAAATGCTGCAATATCAGGACGGGAGAACATCGCTGATGTGAATGCTTGTATTGACAGGATACGGGTTTAAAAAACTGGCTTTAACTGGCTTGCTTGCCAAATTACTTGATCAGGAAGTTATGACATGACAGTGATTCATATATCACTTTGAAGACTGTTGATTTAAGCCAACATTGGCCAGTGATATAACAGGACAAAGCCAAGAAGAAAGTTATTTTTACACTTCAGAAAACTTAAGGGGTGTTGTCCTGAAATGTTATGCGGATAATTTGCAAACGTGAAAAATTCAGCCAAACTCTGTGGCTAAAGACAGACATTCCAGTTTTCCCCGATGAGTCTCAGCTCATCTCTTCATTTTCAGACAGGCTAATTGAGTCTCCATTGGCCCACCAGTGAAGATTAGAGGGTATATATCAGTCTTTCCATCGCTTTGCCTTCATACTGTTCCCACCCTTCCTCCCATTGGATTTACAGCTCAGTGCTGCTGGAAACAAACTTACAGCCAAAGGGGGAAAGGAACGGAGGAAACCCTTTTCCTTCAAACCAGGCTAATGCATTATCCCTGGTGGATGCATAATTACGATGTGAACAGACTGAGGAAGTCATCCCATACCTTCACTTGCGGAGGGTGTTTAATGTAACACACATCACCAAGCCCATAACAAACAATCCTGTGGGAAGGGGGGATGCTTATGCTGCTGTGCTCCATGCAAAAATTAAATAAGCTGACATGTATGCACACTATAAACTTATCATTAGGCTGTAGATCACCTTTGTCCTATTTGTTGAGAAAATTGAAGGATTGAAAAGCACAATGAGCTTTATCAGAACATGAACACAGACTTGAAACTTGAATCAATTGTGGTTTTTTTACTTATTTGTACAAAACATTATGATCAGATGTGGGTGATCTGATCGCAAGTGATGAGCCTAAACTTGAGCAGTGTACACTCAGTTCAAACTTCTCACAGTCAGACCAACATACCTGGATAATATGGGTGGGATCGATTTTCTCTTCTGTGTTTACGACTCTGTCTGACTGAAACTGGCCCAAGTGTTCTGCGTATGCTCCAATATTGGCTCACTGAGCTTTGAGGCGGAAGTTGTTAGCATGAATGTGTTGTTAAGAGACAGGGCAGACGAAAAATGGTTAAAAAAGGGAAAAACTTTCCTATTGTATAAGAGTTTTCATCATTCAACACTTCTCTTGTTATTTTTGTCATTTCTTTTGGTCAATCAAAAGCTAACATGATAGTAACAAAGTTGAGAGAGTTGAAAGGGGAAATGTTGTCACCTGCTGCATTGGAGACAGACACCTTTCTGTCAGTAATTTAGTTCTTTTCAGTAGCAGTAGTCCAACTAAATTACCCAAACAAACCATGCAGCTATGTAGCTTGACTGTAATGTGCATGAGAACATATTAACCATGGACTGTATATAGAATGGACAGCATCTGTCTCCTCGCTGGGTGAAGCCACTCCGAGAACAGCACACCCTGGTGACGGGCTGCACTATAGGTCATAAATCCTGCCTCTGCTAGCCATCCTTATGGGGCTGTGGACAAACTTTAGAAATTGATCACACAGAACATACATTTTTCTCCCCCCTGCTTGCGATGTTGACGTGTAGTTATTGTAAGACTGGTTTGTGCTTAAGTCCTCTGGTTTCAGGAAGTGGATAAAAAAACACAGCATTACCAAGAGCTTTTCGACTTCAAATCCATATACTGGTGGAGGGCAGAACCAAGTTGTCCATAGTATATACAGTCTATGGTATTAACTCATTTATGCATGCTGATCATTCAGAGGAGTGCTGTTTTTCTCTGCACTGGTCTTGTAGCATGGACGCTTGTGTGTACTAGGCCACATTAAGGACCTTCCGCATAACCAAAGCAATGAACCCTTAGAGCCTGGTTTATACTAACAGACAGACTCTTTGAATAATAATGATTTGCGCCCGAACTGGGGTGAGATCGAGGTGTGCTGTTCATGTTTGTTAACAAGATAAGATCAGAAGGACTTTATTGATCCCCAAAGGGAGATTCAATGGTTGTGTAACGTCAAGCTACATAGGCAGCATTTGCAGATGAAAGTGAAAAAAGTAAAAGATCTGCACCCTTCCTATTAAGTTATAAAGCCAATGACAGAACAAACAGAGCAGAAAACCACATGAAGGGGGATGAGGGCTGAGAGAGGAGAGGTGAAGAGCAGAGGAGGGGAAGTGGAGGAACGAAAATGTGAGATCAGGCCCAAATCTGTGGGGAAGCGGTAGCTGGGGCCGGACAAGTTCACAGATGTTTTAAAGTGCTAATCTAATCTTTATGCCAGGCCTTCCCCCTCCTCTCTCTTTCTTTCCTCTTTCCCTGCCTCACTTTTTTTTTGTTCTTTTCCTCCTTTTGCTTTTTGGAGGGAGGTTGGATAGAGTGCTGCTTGTGTTAATGCATCTCAGGAGCATCATGTACTGCTGCTGCTCAGTAATGGGACCTACTTTTTCATGTGCCTGTTATCAGTCCTCTTTGCAGACACATGTGCAACTGCAGGGGAAAAAGTATGAGACAAAAAACTTGCAGAAAGATGCATAAAAGAAAAGATGACAGGAAAATAGAGTCGCTAAAGGGGGGATTGTCTTCTCCTTTTAAAGAACTCATTCATCAAGCGATTATTTTAAGGTTTTTACGCGCCGGTATCTTATTGGTTCTCAGGTTGAGCTAGTTTTTAAGGCTCTGCCAAAAATGTGCTGTTTTTGTGTTAGATGGTTTTTCTGCAGGATAAACGGGGATAACACTTACTTATCATGTTTGTGAAACTAATAAATTTAAAACCTCACTTTGGGTTTAACTCATTTCCTCCCCTTGTCATTCCCCGTGATTTTTCCCTTCTACTCTTCCTGCCCCCTCCCTGTTTCTGCCCGATACGAGTGACAGACAGTGGCCACAGTGAAATACACTGACAGCTCCCTCTGATTCAGCGGATGTACTCGCACAGGAGTTAATCTCACTCTGAAGAATTTAAAAGCAATCTCAAATCCTGTGGTCAGACTTTCTTCCTCCTGACGCACTAGACGAGAAACAAATAGGCCGCTGCCAGAAAAATCCCCCAGGTCACAAAACCTGGAAATATAGCCGGAGGTTAGAGGTACATGTTTAAGTGTGAGTAGAAACACACTGAATCATTTTTTTTCCCCCTGCATTAAGACATATGTAATTAATTACCGACCTGGTCCACTTTATGCTTTTCACTCACAGTGATTTAGAGGATCAGTGGATGTGATTGGGCCCACTGTTTATTTCCTGTGTTATCTCAGGACAGGGCATTCCTACCTCTGAATCCTGGTTGCAGAACACATATCGCGCTGAATGTGCAAGTCATAAAACACACCATGATGAGTCCAACCTGGCAACCGCAAACAAACCTACAATTGCTCACATCCTCTCTCTGTGTCTTTTCCTCTGCTTCTAAACATCTGGAGAAGAGCGATATCCTACGAGTAAACAGACCAACATCTGTCTGCCAGCTCCCCTCATCTCCTTTTGCCATCTTATTCCTCCTTTATCACTTGATTCCTCCTCATAGTTTTCCTTCATTTTCTTCACTGGCTGTGTGAAAACTTCTGTTTCACTCATTCTGCCCCCTCTCCTCTCTCTCTCTGTTGGTTTCTTGTGCGCTGGCTCACCAGCAGGTAAACATCAGTGATGGATGTGTTCGTGCTGCTGTTATCCTGCAGGTCTCGGTCTTGTGTTGAGAGTGATGAAGGACACCCAGCATACAAACTGAGTGATGCTTTCATTCAGCAGCTCATTTTTCTGGCTTTACTAAAAAGTTTCCAGTTTTCACAAAAGAGAAAAAAAAACAACTGCTGGATAATACTCACTTTTGAGGCATTTATCTTGCTGATAAGTTCAATTAACATGATTGACATTATAAACAAATTCAAATCCAATGGGATGGCCAAACAAGTATGAGATTAATTTTTACCCATCCATGTCCTCTGAAAACACTGTCTGAAGCCACAAAAGACATCTAAACCTTTCATTGAAGATAAGGTAGTATTTACATAACCAATGAGAATCTGTGTTTTCATTTGACACCACTCTTCAGTGTTTTATGATCAACCTGACATGCCTATTCACATACTTATTTGTATTTATGGGAGAAATAAGAAATACAGTAAAGGATTTTATAAATTTTATATTATTTATAGCAAAATATAGGACTGAACAGCTGTGGTGGGAAGACACACACTGGATGCCTACCTAAGAGCAGCAATGAACAACCAAGAGTTCTTTTTTTGCAGAAAATGAATGAAAAACAGCCATAAAACATCCTAGTTTAACATTTAATCAATTAAAAAAAGTAAAAAATTAGCATTTTTAAGTCCCTACCTTTGCGCAAATGATGACTGAAATAAAATTGAGCTTACTTTCATGATTTTTAAAAGGGTCCCAGACTTATTTCAGTTCTCTTCTGTTTGAAATATACACTAAGACCGTCTGGTTATTTAAGCCCAAGGTAATCATCTCATCTGTCCCCAACCAAATATAGGATCAGGTCAGGATCACTAAACTAACAAAATCATGCAAAAAAAAAAAAAAAAAAGATTCTTGCCAATAAAGGATAGTTTCCTCACCTGTTAAAGCTGTGAATAATTTTTGACAGTCACAAAATAGCCTGAAATTGATCCTGTCACCTTTATATGACAAATGAAAGCTAACGAGATCACTAACAATAGGACTGGAAGTTTTTATAAAGCAGTTTTTGATGCCTCAAAGCAGTGTGAGGGAGTAAGTCTTAGCTGAGCAGCTGAAGTTACAGCCCTGTTTCTACAATTTGTTGAGAAAGTTGCACATTTTTACAGGTAGATGACATGGACTGACTTGGAAAAAAGATTCATCTTACAAGTAAAAACATTGTGTTTTTACTTTTTAGTGGACCCTGCTT